GGGGGGGGGGGTGCCTCCTGCCATATTTCCCAATTACCAATCTGCTAATCTGGCACAGAGATCTTTTCAAATTTTCATTCCAAAATGTATGTAGAAAAGAGTACGTATATACTGTAAATTTACCCTTTAAAAATAATGATAAAACACCTATGTGCCAGCACCTAGCTTAACAGGACACCACTGTTCCCCCTGAAGACCCAGGGTGCCCCTTCCCCTCCCACCCTCTCCTCACCCGCACCTGGAGTCACCACTCCCCGGAACTTTTGCTTTTCTTTTCCTTTTAACGTTGACATATGTATAATTCCTTAAATAACACACTGTTTACTTTCTATAAGTGTGCCCTGTAAATCCCTGACTTCCTTTTTTCACTCAATACTGCAGGTTTGAAAATGACCCGCATTCAAGCGCACAGCTGCCATGGCCCGGGCCGTGCGTTTCCGCTGGTGCGTGGTGCTCTGCCGGAGGACTCCACAACCTGCTGCTCCATTTCACTGTCAGTGGATACCTGGGTTCTTCCCTGGGTTTTGCATATCATCGTGGGCAAGACTTTTAACTCCCTTGGGCCCAAGCTTCCTTAGCTATGGAACGGGGACAACCCAGCCGTAAGGAATTGCTACGGACGACAAACAAACCCTGTGCGCCAGGCCAGCCCTCAGCGGGAACCCTCTTAGAGATGCAGCGTCAGCGCCAGGAGGGACCAGAGCCTGACCCGTGCCAACCCTGCGCTTGCAGGTGAGGGGCCTGAGGCCTGGGGAAAGGAAGTGTGGGCAGAATCCACTGCTGCCTCCCCGACCCTGAACCCGTCCGCGGGCGTGCGGCCAGCCTGCCTCCTGGTGCCACCCTGCAGCAGGTGCGCGCTACAGGCCTTCTTTCTCTGGGGCACCCCTTCCTCCCACCAACAAGGGTTTTGCACAGAGAAGCCTTTGAAAGCTTTTAATTGACCTCCACTATTTCCTAACCACTACTAAGCCGGGCTAATCTCCATTTCACCTTGTCTTGGCCTTTCTATCGGGACTGAGACAAGAAGGTAGGGGCCCTGTCTCTCTCTAGTCCTACCTTTGCTGTTACCCATCTGCAATTGCCTCCCCCCTCCAGGCTGTCCCACAAATCACTCTTCTCTTCCCAGATTACCCTGGCCCCATCCTCCACCTGCCTAAACCGCATTCTTTCTTCCCAACTCAGCCTTCTCGGAACCTACCAGGTTGAGTTAGGAGACCCCACTCTGCCTACAACCTCTGTGCTCCCACACTTGCCTGGGTCTTTCTCTGTTCAAGCATCGATCACAGTCTAAAAAACTGCAACCACGCTGTCTTCCCTACAGAAAGGGACACTTGGGCATTCCCTGTCCAGCCCTGGGCAAGAAGAAAGTGGACATACACAGAGACTGTGCCCGAACCTGAAGCAAATGAGGGAGACACCTGCACTGAGAGCGGTTCTGAAGTTCAGGTGTTTGGCTCTAAGCCTAGTTGCTGTGCAACCTGTAGTGGGAAACTCTCTGGGCCTCAGTTTCACTATCTGGGAAAGCAGGATGTCAAACCAGATCATCCAGGTACATTCTTCCAGCTCTAAGTTTCCAGAAGGTAATAAGGATAGTAATGAGGCAGAGAGAGGAGGGGAAGGGGGGAGTGGGTGTGATGGCCCTCAGAGCCCCCAGCGAGTAGGGGAAGGTGCAGGAAGGGGAAGGCTCAGATGGAGGCGGCTTTCAGAGGCCTCCGCAGAATCCCGATCGCTGGTTTCCCGGGGGTGAGAGTGCTGAGCGGCCCCTCGGGCTGACGAAAGGCTTTCCTGAGACTCCAGATATTAATCATCTGCAGTTGCCGGGAATGTCTCCCTCTGCGAGGGAGCATTTGAGATTATTGCTTAATTAACAAGGTTTATAACAGCGCTAATGTGTCCTATTAAGAAAGTTATAAAAATTAACCAGAACTCAGTGCTGGGGCTCATCTGGAAAACTCAGACACTCTACGAAAGGTCATTTGACCTTAATAAGGTTGAACTGTCATCCTGGAGCTCGTCATGGAAGCAAACCTGTCCTCTAGCCCTCCTGCGTTCACTTTCTAAAGCAGAGTCAGTATCCGCCGCACCCCCCTGCTAACCGGGAAGAAAGGATTTCAAAATCAGAGGAGAGGAAATTCTCACCAGCCCTGTGAGCGTCAAGGCTTTTGCCATTTTTATACTGCAAATGTGGCTGAATGTGATAAAATCATATAAAACAAATACAACCTCAATCCAGCAGACAGCTTGCATGGGAAAAGCTGGTCATAAAACGCAATCTGGGAGAGCTCAAATAATTAGGCCCAAAATGGTGAGTGTATGGTGGGATGGGAGACAGGCCTCAAACCTGCCCGGTTGTAGTAAGTAAATAAATAAACACCGTCTTTTAGTGAGACACACCCCTCTGGAGACAAGGCAAGCCTGCCAGTTGGTTCTGCTGGGCTCTGATCTAGCCTGGTCAGGTAAGGCCTCAAGCAAGCTGATTTCCTTCTCATTCACTTGCATGGCAGGCGAGCACTTATGGGCTCAAAGGGGCTGCTAGACCAGGCTCCTAGGAGGCAAAGGCACAGCAAGGAGAGAAGAGAGTAGGCCCAAGGCCCTTTGGATCAAGGGAGCAGGGAAGGCTTTCTGAAGGAAGCTTCTCCCAGCAGATCTGGGTGGTAAGTAGCAGCTAGCCGGGCAGAGCAGCGGGCACAGGGTGGGGAGTGTGACCCCTGTACCAGGCACTGGGAAAAGCATTTACAAATTCCCACATGTGAGAGGAAACAGGCCTGTTTAGGGAATGTGGCAGTTCATATGGCAAGAACTTAAGAATTCAAGGGAATACTGCTGAAAAATAAAGCTGGAGCTATCAGCCAGGGGCCAGGCAGATTATGATGGAACTGGTATGACACACTGAGGAGCTTACCCTTGAATAACAGGCACCATGGACTGGCTGTGACAGGGCAATGGCAATGGAGTATTTTTGTTTCCAAAAGATCATGTGGTTATATAATGAAGAGAAGAGTCTGGAAGCTGCTGGAGTAGTGCAGGGGAGAAACGGTGTGGCCTGAAGTATGGAGGGGGGGTTGGGATGGAGAGGATGGTTTAAGAGGTATTTGTGGGTAAAACAGATGGGGAGTGAGGCATGTGGACGATCACAGATGAGACATCTCTGGAAGAGGGGCCCGCTGGCGGGCGAGAAGCCGGACGGGCAGGAGGAAACCCTGAGCGTGCAGGACGGTCTCTCAGTGAAGGAGGAGTGGCCTTGTCCCACAGTGCTGGGAGCAGGTGAAAAGCATGCCCTGGATTAGCAAGGAGATGTCGCTGGGAAGCTTGGCGAGAAGCAGGGGAGTCTAAGTGAACACAGGCAGTGAGTGGGGGGTAACTCTCGCAAGAAGCCTGCATGTGAAGAGAGAGAGGCACGGTGGCCGCTGGGTGATGGCAGTGGCCCCTGGGAGCATTTTGTTTGTGTTGTAAGAAATGAGTAATCCAAGTATATTTAAATGATGCTGGGAAGGAACCAGGAGAACAGGAATTGGAGGAACAAGGTGCTAGGAAGGCAGGGGGGCTGGGGTCCTGATGAAGAGAAGGGGGAGCCCCAAGTAAGAGAGGGAAACTTCTCTCGGGACATGAGGCAGGAGAATGCGGGATCCAGCTGTGGGAGATAGGAGTGGGCTATCGTGTTTGGGGAAAGTAGAGGAGGTTTGAAAAGAGCGTGGAAATGGGGGGTGGATCAGTGAGGGAAACGTGGAGGACCTGGCAGGTGGGCTTGAAGACTGAATCTAAGCCCCACAAGCCACACAGCTGAGGTGTTCTCTCCTAGATTGTTCTGTAGCATTGGGGACCAGGTGAGCCGCATAGAACACCATCTGAATGGGGCTGAAGGAATAGTAAAAATGTCTATTTGGTCCTTTGGGTAAGCAGGACAAGGACTGTGATCTTGGCTTTACAGGTGGAGACACCAAGCATCTGCTTGGAACTGACACTGCACTAGGCTTGGGGAAGCAAAAATAAATACGGTAAGAACCAGGGTAAGCTCAAAGCTAAACCAAAGCAGAGCTGGGGCTCAACAATAAGTTTTTGATTCCTGTTTCCTATCACAGTGCATAGGAAGCCGATGGGGGAGGGGAGGGCCTGAAAGCTCCTGAGTGGCACTGAATAGACGTGAACTTCAACGAGGTGACCATCAGGAGGTCATGCTGGCTCCACAGAGGCAGCTCACTTGTCAACAAAGGTGATAACTTCTTCTCACACCTCAAAAATAACTATTTCCAAGCTATAATCCTGTACAGCCCTCTTAGCTGTCCTAAGAGATAGGTTTTCAACTGATGAAACTGAGACATGGAGGGAAAGTGATTCACAAGAAATCACACTGAGGGTGAGTCAGGGGATCGGCTTGCAGGTCTCAGTGTTTCACTTGTCCAGGCCTCATTTCCTGAACACCTACTGTGTGCCAGGCCCTGTGTTATGCATGAGGACGTGGAGATGAACCTGGTATGGTCAGACTAGTGCCTGAGGCAGATGCACAGCATATGACTTTATACCACATGGCAGTGGTGGAGCAGCCAGTCATCATTCCAGCTGAGTCACATTCCAACATATATAACAGAATCAGAAGTCGGCCACCTATTGGGTGGTTCAGGGCAACCTCCCCAGGAAGGCCTTTATCTCAGGGTGACCTCCCAAATTAAGCTCCACTGTTTCAGACAACGGGCCAACTAAAGGTTATCTCTGATTGTCTAAAAATAAGTGGCTGCCTAACTCAATTAACCACGAGTCAGCCAGGCAAAGGAGGCAGCTTGCTACACAGTGCAAGCCCAAGCCAGAGTCTAGGGTTGTGGGTTAGAATCCAGGTGCTGAAACCTTATAGCTGTGACCGCAGGCTGGTCACCTAGTCTGTCTGTGTCCTGCCACCTTGACCTCCAAAACATGCCCAAATCTGGCCACTCTTCCCCCTCACTGCCATCACCTCACTCCATGTCACCATAGTCTAGCCCTGAGACCCCTGCACCAGCTTCCTAACCGAGTTCCCATTTGGTTGCTCCACGATGTGGAGCCCTCCACTGCCTTTCTCCTGCAGGTGGAGTGAATCCAGACTGCTCACTGTGGCCCTCACGACCCTCAAGGCTGGTTCTCGCCCACCTCCCCAACTTCCCTGCCCCCTCACTCATGACTCCTCGGCCACTGGGGCTTCATTGGCCTGCAGCGCACTGGCCTTTGCACCTGCCCTTTGTTCTGCCTGTTCAGCTGCCCTCAGACCTTCGCAGGGCTGCCTCCCCCACACCCAGTTCCCAGCTCGCATTTGCCTCCTCAAACAGGTCTCCAACCACCCTGGCTGGCCCTGCCCTCCTTGTCCTACCATGTCATGTGGTGACACTTCACAGCCCCACCAGTACCTGGAACTACCTAACTTGTTCATAGACACATCTGTCATCTGTCCCCAAACCTGGCAAAAGGCCTGCTCAAAGTGTCTGTGGTGACTGACTGAGCCCTACTTTCTTCACTAAAACCTGGAGCTGGACATGCAGACCAGGGGTTAGGAACAGCTTCTGACGCCAGCTCTCCCGCTTGGTCTCCCGGCTCCGCCCCTACCAGCTGTATGATCCGGGCCAGTCATTCAGCAGCCTGTGTCTCAGTGTCCCCAGCTGTAAAGCAGGGGTAATAGAGTAGCCCACAGTAGGAGTGTTATGAGGATTAAATGAGTTACTACATGTGAGGATTAAATGAGTTACTACATGTGAAAGTATTTTTTAAAACAGAACCATTAAAAAACTCAGACCCTGAAACACAGTAGGTGCTCAGAATAATGAGCAATCGCTACAGTGCTCTCTCTGCGCCCGGGTACCTTCCGCCCGCCTCTGTAAGTTGCATTGTCTGTACAGTGACTGGCTGTTCTTGTGTTCACCTTCCCTGTGGGACTGAGCTCCTTACAGAGGGAGACTGTGTCTCAGCTCTCTTTGTATCCTCAATACCCAGCAGAGGGCCTGGCTGAGAGTAAGAGCTTAGTGACTGATGGAGAGAGGGTGGGAGAGACAGAGGAAAGAGGGGAGATAGGAGAGTGAGGAGAGGAGGGAGGGAGGGAGGAAGGATGGAAGGCAGGCAGGCAGGCAGGCAGGCAGGGAGGGAGTCAGGAAGGAAAATCAAAGAGTCCAGGATATAGCCATGTCTTTAGGGAGAAAAATAATACCCTGTCTCTTTCCTATCCCCCAACCCCTCCCAAACACCAGAAAAGAGGGTAGAACCAGTGGCCCTGAGCAGGTCTGTATCTCATGAACTGTTCCAGGCACGATGCTCGACCCCTAGCCTTGACCTCTTACTCTGCACACACAAGCACTCCTTTCCCATCTCCGTGCCTTTGTTCCACATGCTTCTGCCTCCAGAAGTAACTCTCTTTACACGTTTGCATCTTCATGTCTGATGGATCCTTCAAGGCCCTGGAAGCCTTCCCTGATTTCCAGCCAGGGGCCTCCTCCCTGCTAAGAACTAACTCCCCTGACACATCACCTGTCCCTCTCCCATACCAGCTCCTTGCACTGCATTGTGTCCACAGCTCCCGTCTGCTCCTGTGTCCCTGAGCCCAGCCGGGGCCTGGCACTGGAGCTCTAATGTTTGTTGAACTTAGTCATGCCTGGTCCATCCTTAGCAGAGAGAAAGACAGTGGCCCAGCCGTCATGTTTCTGCTGCAATGACCTACCTCGGACGATGCTTAGTTTGTGAGGAGAGAGGGGCGGCTTGGGGACAGCATCTTTCTTTTTTTTTGTGGCAACTCCTGTGACGCTTCTGTTCTTCAGAACATCTGTTCCCCAAATCATAACTGCCAAGTTCTTTGTGTACTTGGAATCTCCTTGGGTTACTTGTAGCTGGTGCCATTTCTCTTCATCAACCCAGATCCCGCTTCCCAGATGGACCTGAAAGGGACAGGAATGCAGCACCTGCTTAGTCGGACAGGATGGCAGCTGGAAACTCTCCTTGCCCTTTAAAATATATTCCTGCATAACTCTAAGGGATTCTTTCCATAAATGCTAAGTTAACTTTCTTTAGGGGAAATAATGATACTCATTTCCTGAATACTAGGCCTTATTCCCATGCTTTGTAGCCACTACCTCAATTCCTGGCAACCCTGGGAGGAAGGTGTTGGGCCACTGTTTTCATTTCAGATGGAAAGTCCAGGTTATGAAAGGGGAAGGAACCGGCCCAAAGTCACTCAACTAGGAAGGTGCAGACCTGGAATTCTACCTAGACTCACTATCACAGGCTGCTCAGAACCTGAGTTGAAGTCCTTTCTCTGTGACACTTTAGAAAGAAAGACCTCTCTCCTAAAGTAAACATGTAAACACCCTGGACGCACGTCCTCCTAGCCCAGTGGCTCTCTCCTTGGTATCACATGGGGTCGCCTGGCAAGCTATAAAAAGGGCCGGGGCCAGGGCGGCACTCCCAGGGAGCCTAACTTAGTTCATCTGGGTGGGGCCTCGGTACTAGGGTGGTTGAAGGCCCCCTAAGTAATCCCGGTGTATAGTTGGGGTGGGAGGGCAGCCCCCAGGCTCTCCATTAATCAGAGCGTGTTTGTGCAGGTCCTTTCTCACCCCCAGCTCCGTGAACTTGAACTGGAAGAGTTGGATTTTAAGTTCCTTCTGGCTCAGAACACCTAGGATTTTACATTAGACACAACCACAGTGTCCAGTCTGATCCTGATGGCACCCAGCACAGAACGCGATCTAATGCTCCCTAAAGGAAGCACCCAGAGAGTGCCAGCAGAGTCGGTAACGGTGCAGGCCCAGGCTGCTCTAGCAGTGAGCTGCTAGCTTTCAAACTTTTTCTCCTTCCTGGCTCTTTAACAACTCAAAACACATTTGCTAACATTAACCATCAAAAACCAGAGTTTGACTCTGACATTGCCATTTATGTTGTGTTTCTGCTGATGCTATGGAGGGTGAAGAGGCCTCTGTGGGGATTGAGGGAGAGAGCGGCTAATAAGCTAAACTTTCTGAAGGGAAAGAAAAGGCTCTGCCAAAGGTCCCTGTCTTCAGAAAGACCTCAGGTCACCAACACTGCATGGCCAGGAGATATCTCAGGAGAAGCCTGGTCTGACAGACAGCACACACGCCCATTGTTCAAAGATGATTAAAGCTCTTTGAACTGACGCTTGGCTTGGAGAAGGAGGTGGGCACCACACAGAGGCAGAAAGGTCAGCCAACAACACTCTCCTTAACCAATTACTGAGGTTTTCCCACCATAAAAACAACAAAACTACAACATAGCCCCCCCCCAATGGCTGTCAGTAAATAAACAATCCACCTGCCACATCTGACTTCACTTCCTTTTGCTCAAGAGATCACTCAGACCTCTGCAGGCAGGACATAGGATAAAAAGGTCCACCTGGCTCCCTGCGCCACAAATTTCAGTCTGTTCACATGGCTCAAGGAGATAAGCACCCTGGGTGGTGTGCTGCCTGGGGCTGGCTGGGCAACACTAGCCCAAGGTCAGGTCTGGCTGCTCTCTGCAGTCTGCCTTGCAGGCGGGCAGGTGGTGTGCCAGGTCAGGCATGCTAGGGACAAGTGCCCTGTGCACCCTGCTGGACCCTAGTCACCTTCCTGATGATACTCTGTAGCTACCTTACAAGCTTCCAGAGATAGGGGGAAACCAAGGAATTTGCATCAGATTAAATTCAGAATCAGAAACCACAGAGATGGAAGATAACTTCAGTTTTCAAAGGTCTCCGCTCTTTTCTACCCCAGGCCTTGTTTGTTGTTAAGAGAGAGATAACAGTCATTTTAGCCAAAGTTCTACAAGAGAAGGGGGACACAGATATTTTTTGAGCAGCTATAATGAACCAGGTATTGTACCTTCAATTTATTTATCCTCATAATGACCTTAAGAGATGAAAAGAGGTAGAAATTATTCCCATTTCACAGACATGAACAGAGACTCAGGGGACTCAATTATTTTTCCTAAGACACATTATCAATAAAATTTAGAATCGAGATTCAAACCCAAATCTGTATGACCCCGAAGCCACCTCCTGCTGTGCCCGTGGTGGTGGGAACAGCAGGCCCATCAAGGCTCACTCAGCCCTTTTCTGCACCTGCCCGCCCCATCCCTGGCAGGCCCAGGGCAGCCCCCCACTGCAGACGGGAACCAGCGAGAAGCCACAGGCTGGCCTGCCTGCCTCCAGGCCCTGCTGCCTCAACACACCCTGGAACCTGCCAGACTGATTTCCTGAACACACGGCTTTCCTTCTTTGACTAAATGAATTCAGAGTCCTTCACAAAGTCTGTGAAAGATGCGGAGTTTTATGTCAACCCTCTGGAGTCTTGAATGGCTCGCTATTTACTGTCACATCAAATCAGGCCTTTTCCGCTGGCTTTAAAGACCCTCTAGAATTCTGTCTTCATCGAACTCACTACTATTTCCCTGCTATGTCCATCACTCCAGGAAGCTCCCAAACCTTTCATTTCCTCCTGCTTCCAGGGTACGGGCCAGAAAGAGGATGGGCTCTGAGCCTCCGTCCCTGCGTGTGGATCCTGGCTCTTTTACCTAACTAGCCAGGTATCTGGGGCAAGTCCCTTTACCTCTGTGAGCCTCCCTTCTCTCAGCTGTACAGGAGGCAGACCACCACCTAGTCCATAGAGGTGTCTGGAGAATTAAATGAGATGACATGAGTAAAACATCAGGACAGCACCCACCCAGTAACTGTGACTGCCTTTGCCTTCTTTCCCCCACCCACGTCTCTGCTAAGCCTTTCCCCCGTCCAGGAATGAATGAAGAGATTATGTCTTCAGAAGCCTGCTAATCTTTCAAGTTCCAGTCCAAAATCCAGAAAACACTCCTAACTACTCAGGGGCTAAGTTCTACCCCAGGGCTAAGCTCTACGTCTCCAAATGTCCAGCTTAGTGAGAGCCCTTACCACCTGATCCAGCCCTTCACAGTACATTTCCGTGGGGTGGGGTCAAGCTCTGCCTCTTCCGTCCCCTGCAAAGTGACCAGGACTAGTCTGAACCCAAAGTGAGAAAATGATGGCATGTTTAATATGTTTTAAGGGCACTGGCTTTCAGTTCTGATGAGCTGCTGAGTCTTGGAGATGAAAATATTTTCTGACATTCACTCAAGTACAAGGCCAACTTTACAGCACAGAAAGAAATGTCCCTGGGTAAGTGAGATCAATCACAGGTTATCTGCTGGGTGTCTGGAACAAGGGCTCCTGAGGTCAGCGAAGCTCAGGCTCACCTAAGGCAATGCCCAGCTTTCAGGGGTGCAGCAGAATAGGCTGGAAAGAGCACTGGCCTGGGAACCAGGGGATCTGGCTTCTTGCCTCTAACCTGTTGTGCAACTGCAGACGAGTCTCTTCTCTGGATGTGTTTCCCCATGCGTATCATGTATAAATTAGACTAAACGTTAATGGTCTTTGCAGCTTTATGATTCAATGAGTTTTTGAAATAAAATATCTTAGACAAAGAAAAGCAACCCACTTTATCAAAACTAGACAGTCACTTTTGTGGCAAGCCCCATTCATGTACACCACAGTTCGCTATTGGACCAAAATGTGTCAAGGGGGGTTATTAAAATATGACATCTGGTAGGATGGGACTTGATCAAAAAGTGTCTTTGGAAAATGCTCTGTAGGACAGAAGTAGTTTCCTAGTAGGAAACAGATTCCATTCCAAAGCTCTAGGCTTTGCAGAGATTAAGGCCTTTGTTCATGCAGGGGAGGGGAGGGGAGGGGTCAGAAATGCTGGAGAGCCAAGAACAACATGGGCTACTTCTGCGATGTGGGGCTGCAGCTCTGGGGAGCTGCCATCATTTCCAGAATGTCCTCTTCCCTTCCTCTCCCTCAACAGAGCTCTCTGCCTGACTACAAATTAGTTGCAAACAAAAGCCAGGTTAGTAACATGTTGGCAAAAACCAAAGAAAAAACAAAACTGGCAATTTCTAGATCTGCTGTGCATGTCATGTGTGAAAAAATTAAATGAGATTATAGAGGCCCGTCTTTTGGAGGAAAAGTGATACCTTTCTTTGTAAAAGGACCCTCTGTCATTCTCAGAAACTGTCCACCGGTTTTCAGAGCAAGACACAAGTACATTTCTTTTGGAAGCTACTTCAAGAACAAGTAGTCATTCCACAATGTGATCATGACTAAAGAGAAATCAAGGAAGAAAGAAGAGTCCTTTCTTTCCTTTATCTTCAATTGGGGAGGGGTCACCGAACTTAAGATATACTGTTGGTGTCACTCAAGTCCTAAGGGACCATCAACCACGTCCACTTTTCCCAGGTAGGGAAGCTGAGGCCGAGAGGGGGGAGGGCCTGCCCAAGGTCACACAGGTCGGACAGAGACAGAGCTATGCCCAGAAGTCAGGCCCCAGGCTTCCTGCTGCCACTCTGCCGTGCCACCTTTCCCCTGCCATTGGCTGAAACAGGCAGCGGAGGATGGGCTGATGGCCTGGCCCATCGATTCTGCCTCTGCAGGGGAGGAAGCGCCTGGTGGGAGATGAGGGGATGGCACCATATCCAACAGAGCCCCAGAGACCACAGGTTTCTTTCCTCAGCTTGACTGTATTTGCTCTGGCTCAGTCTGGCCAGTTACAGGGATATCTCTGGCCAAACCCCAATGCAACAACTGGGAAACACAGTGGGTAAACAGAGACCTTTTGCAGCGTAAGGCAAGACACACGCACTCACGGACGATTCTCTGGGGAGGGCGTGAGGGTGGCGTCTGTGATGTGCGCGATGACGACAAAGCACACAGCGCTGGAACGGGCTGTGCCTGGTGCCGGGATGAGGGCTCCCCTGTACTTCCAGAGGAGGCCATTTGGATGTTGGAGCAGTTTTCTTCCTGCCCTGCTGCTCTGCCATCACGTGGCTGTAGGACTTCCAAAGGCTAGTCCATTGCTTTTCATTACTAATAGTGTTTACGTTTTCTTTCATGATTTCCCCCCCAAGGGTCTAAAAGAAAAGCTAGGAGTTATTTGTGGTCCTAGGACGGTGGACTAACCACTGCTGAATATTCAGCTTGAAAATGCCTTATGCCCTACCCGGTTTGACTCAGTGGCTAGAGAGTCGGCCCACAGACCGAAGGGTCCTGGGTTTGATTCTGACCAAGGGCAGGTACCTTGGTTGCAGGCTCGATTCCTAGGCCCTGTCAGGGCGAGTGTGGGAGGCAACCAATTGATGTGTGTCTCTCATGTTGACGTTTCTCTCTCTCTCTCCCCCTCTTCCTTCCACTCTCTCTGAAAAGCAATGGGAAAAATATCCTTGGGTGAGAATTTAAAAAAGAAAGAAAGTTGCATAGAAGCCAGTCTCATTCACCTCTGTGTCCCTGGCACCTAGCACAAGGCACAGGACATATAAATATTTCACAAATAGTAACTGGTTATCTATACATTAGTTCACCTTAGAAATTTATGCGTCTGGTTTCATAGAAGGGTAGGGCAGTTTTCATCAAACTACTGCTTTTTAAATCTTTCTCACTAATAAGCTATTTTACAATGTCAGTTGTTTCGGCCCAATATTTAAAAAGCAACAACAAAAACAAAACGAAGAGAACAAGAAAAAGTCCCAGTAACGGTCCCCTAGCGGTAACACATGAATTCGGGCACCAGGAGGCCACAGCAAGCTGCGGCTCGGACAGCCCCGCCGGACGCCGTCTTCACTGACTGCAGACGCTCGCGGGAACGGGCACGGGTGACACACTACCTTGCCATTGTCTAGGATATACTTGTCCATGACCGGTGCAGGAGCGGGGAAATAGGACGACGTATTTGCTTCCTCACTGAAAGTGCTCCGTAACTCCGGCTCGGGCTCGAGACATTCTGACTTTACTTTTTCCAAGTCAATGGCGGGACCTAGGCAGTTAAGAAAAGAGATCTGTCTAGAACTCCAAGGAAAATAAAATGCAAATATTTTTAGCTACGCATCTATCAGTACATAGTGGCACAATATATATATATATACTGGCTTATTTTGGTCCATTGGACAGCACTTAAACCCAGGCTTGAAAAATGATACGAGGTATGAATGTCACAAGCAAACAGTTGGAAAACTGGGAGACAAGAATGGACTAGACCCTAAGTATGAATGGGAAGCACTCTTCTAGGGTGTCACTGTGTGGATGGACATGCAGGGGATGCAGCTTTCTGCACAGGAAAGAGGTCCTGTTAAGACTGGGTGGAGAAGGAGTGCAGTTACTGCCATGTGCAAATTGTGTATCTGCCAAAACCCCCATCTCTTCAGCCCACAGCAGATGAACAGAGGTTAAGGGAAAAGCAGAAATGCAAAGGCCTCCCCTCTCTAAGACCTAGTATCTAGATAGGAGCATTTCAACCAAGAAATTAAAACACAATACAGATTAGGCCCTTGATTGCCTGATCCAGCAGCTACGCTGATTTTTATTTTAATGCAATCAACACAAATTACGTGCAGATTAAATAGTGAAAGATAGATAAATGGTGGTGGTTTCTATGGGGGATATTTTTTCCACCATTAGCTTATAAAAATGATGGACTGTTTTTTAAATCACCTGTCGTGTCTTGATTACAAAAGGGCAGAGAAACAGGATGAACATGAGTAAACAAGGCCAAATGATTTGGTTAACTTTTGCAGGAGAGCAACGCCGAAGGCCAACAGAGAGTTGAGCAACCTGTGAAAATTTCAGGAGTTCACTGGGATCAGATGTAGCTGCTGCCACAGCAGGTCTCCAAGGCTGTGCATATAACTTAAGTAACAGATGAATTTCATGGTCCAGCCTTCTCTTACTCTAACCATGTGGACAACTCAGTACAGAGCTCTTTACATACTAGAGACCTGACCACCAATCTGGTTGTGATTCTGTGTTTCATCACCACATCCTAGACTTTGGCTGGTGGTAGGGAAGGTGTTGGTAATTTTATTATTAAAATTCCTCATGACAGGGCTTCCCACAACAAGAGTATCACTCCTGAGTTGCTGGCAACAGCCATCTGCAAAACAGAATCTCTGCAGTCTGCACGATTTCAACTGAATGCGAGATGGCTGGGAGCAGAAAAGCATGGTTCATCTTGGTAGAGTTTAGAGCCCATTCCTGGCTCTGCTATGTGTCATTGTGCATCCCCAGGTGAGCGAGCTGTGGCTGCACAGAAGCTGGCGGAGCAAAGGACTGACCATCCCGACTGTTCTGAGAGCATCTTCCAATAGTGCATTCCCTAGTCAAGGGCTGGCCCTAGGTCCGATTCTTGTCTTTGTCCTGAGCACCTGGCACTCTGAATGTTTGCTACATGAATAAAAGAATGACATCAATGAATGAGTAATTCCAAAGTTTCAGAAGCAGATGCCACAGCTTTTCCTCTCTCAGTGTGAGATTCAGGGTGAATTCTGAGATGCAAACAAACTCCAGTGGAGTGTACGGTCTTCCCTTAGAGCTGGGAAGAAGTCACTCAGTTTCCCCTAAATGGCATGGCTGACTTGGCATCTGAGGTCTCCTCCTGCTTTGACATTTAGTGACAGGAAGAAGACATGGGCTGAGAGAAGCCGAGGTCCACGCAGCCAGCAGCCCACAGGTCATCTTTGGCGAGACCGTATCCTTTCTCTAATGTCTCCTTTTCCTTCTATGAGAGGAAGGTGGGACAAGAGAATGAATCCGGTTCAGCTCTGACTCCAGTCTGGTCCTCTCCCACCCACTCCACAGTGGCTACCACAGAGATCTGCACACAATCTTTCCTTGCTCAGGTTCTCCATTACCCTCAAAGTGAAGTCGCACCCCAAGCCCTCCTTAAGGCCCAGAACCAGCCTCCTCTCCACCTCTGGTGCTCATGTCTTGCTCTTCCCCACACCTCGGCTCAGGTTCTTCTTATGCTGTGTCATCCAGGCCTCTGCCCTTCAGGTGCACTGTTGTCTCGGCCTTGAATGCCACCTCATCTGCCTGCCAAGCCCCTGGTCAGGCTTCAGCTACAGGCATCTGTTTCTATTCCTGTCTCCCACACTGGGCTGCAAGGCCGGAGGGCAGGCAGGGACTGTGTCTTTACGTCAGAGGCCAGGCTCAGCACAGTGCCTGGTTCAGATTCTATCCTGTGCAGGTATTTTACACATTGATAATCACTTGACCTCTCTGACCCCACTGCCTCACCTGAAAGGAAGAACGATAGCAGCAACTTGGCGAGACTGAAGACTAAATGAATTAACCAAAATATGAAACGATTACTCCAGAACCCGGCAGGCTGACTGCTCAGTAAACAGTGGCTCACCACCTCCCTCCCCCACACGTGCCTTACACTTGGGGGCTCAAGCTAGTCCAGTGCTAAACCACGGCTGCTGTGAGCCAGGGCCCGCTGGTCTCCTTTTGTCCAAGCGCCCTGCACAGGCCCAGCTCAGAGCAGGTCCCGGCCCTCCTCAGCACGCCCATGTTCCCTGCACTTATGCTGGTCTCCCCAGGAGTTTTGTCAAATATTGAGGCTACTGCACTGGGCTCTTCTGGTTCTTAAGGAAAACGATTTCCTAGCATTCCCGGCCAGCACTATTACGCAGGTGCTGGCACTGCTCTCTGCAACTGTCTCCTTCTCTGACGCTGTGTGTAGAAGGTACCTGGTGCCTCGGCCCAGCACGGAGGGCGGATCAGCCAAGGGCACATCTTGGAAGGGGACTGTCAGGAGACTTGGGCATGAATCCCAGCTGCATGACCTTAGACAAGTCACCTCACCTCTCTGTGCCTCACGTTCCTACCTGTGAAACGGGAATTACCGACAGCCACCACGCAGGCTGACGGTGCCTCTGGAAGAGCCTAGCACGGAGGCAGGCGCGGGGCAGAGGCTCGGAAATGGCAGAGAGATGAAGGAACGGCTCGGCTGGGAAAGCCGAGTGCTTAGTGTCACAGAATCAGAAAGAAAGGGAACAAAAAGCACGTGGTTTCTTTGGGGAGAGAAGGGAGGGCCTCCAGTGCTTTTAATTTAAGGGGGGAAAAACACTTCATTGCAAATTTTAGTCGGCTCTCCTCCCGATGTTGGCAATTTACATCTCATTACAACAAACGCTGCGGATTGCTGTTTTGCTTTTAAAAATTTCTGCGGCATTGTTCGCCTTCAAACACATGTGACCGAATTAGCCACCATAATAAGCACTTGCGCTGAGAGACAGCACTGTATGATCTGGCGCAGATATTTTAAGCAACAAAGGAACTTTTTTCACTTGTGGGAAGAGTAGGAATAAATAAAAAAAACCCAAGCCTTTTGATCCACTTCAGGTTTATTTGGGGGGAAATACAGCTTCCATGGTATGAAACCTCTCAGCTGGGTGAAGGAAGCTTTTAAAGACATATAAAAGGTAGTAGTTGTCTTTTCATTCAGTCACTCCTGAAGCCAGTGATCGCACAGCCCCTCACTGCACACCAAGGTCTGGGCCCTGCAAGAGGCACTGGGACCCGGAGACAGAGAAGGCACAGCCCAGTTCTGGGGGAGAAGAGAAATGAGCACGTGAGACGCTGTCACATCGCGTATACACAGCGGGATCTGATGGACAAGCACTGGCCTTAGTGTTAGAAAACACAGTGAGGATCCTGGCTCTGTTATTTACTTCCCCTCGTTAAGCCTCAGCGGCTTCTTCCATAAAATGGGAACCATGGTGCAGAGTAAGGGACGTGGTAAATGCTTGTTGGCACAATAAATGAAATTATACCTTTCTTTGTTCTTGTTTATCTTCAACTGGACGAATGCTATTCTTTCTAGAAACCTCTCTTAAAAGCTAATGCTTGTATTACTTCCAGGAAGTTCAGAAGGCACCTGTTTCTTCAGTATATATAGGTTTGGACACTGAATACCACTTCTGATTTCTGCTGAAATAGGAACACTAATAATACTGGATTTTTTTAAAGAAGCACTAAATCCAGCCATTCACTTCTGGAAGGGAACAGGAAGTTTCTGTGCTATCTGTGTAATTCTAGTTTCTTCACAAGTGCAAGATGAACCAAGCCAAAATTCTTAAGTGCACTCAGAACACCTACTATGCATCAGAGGCACACCGGACAGGGTAGAAAAAAGGTGATTCCACTTTGCTGAAAAGGACCCGGGCATGGGCACAGCCATGTAACAACGAAGGAGGCACTCAGTGTCTTGGAAAGAGACTGGAAACTGGCCCAGACCCCCCATCATCACTTCTCAACAGGCATCAGCCTCCCTCACCTGCTGCTATGGCTACATATCGGCTTCTTAGTCCCCTGTACTTACAGGGAGGGTGGGGACAGATCTGGGCTCGACCCTTCAGTGAGAATCTACTAAGGGCCAGTCCTGGGCTAGGCCTTGATTGACAGTCCAGCAGTGGGAAGAGACTATCATCGCCACCCTGTGTGGCTAACATGGGTCAGGATGCAGACTTGGGAACAGAAGCAAAGGAAGAGGTCCTGCACCTGGAGGAGACCAGGAAGTCTTCAGAAGGATGGCCACAAACTTCTATGCCAGCGCTTGGAGGATGGATGGGCAGGAACTTGTTGGGTGCTAAGGGCTGGGGCGGGGTAGTTACCTCCATATGGTTAAAGCAGGTGGCACATAATCGAGGCTCACTGACTGACCAGGAAGTGATCAGTGTGATGATCTGCACAGACTTGGGGAGGGAGAGATCACCACTGGATCAGTGATCCTGGAAGACTTCAGGGAAGAGGTGAGCTCCTACTGGGGCTTTGATGGGTGAGTAAGGTCTGGGGAAGGTGGAGGGGTGACCAGGCAGGGGGATGGGGTCACAGTAAGCAGAGACTCTTCTGGACCTTCTCCCTCCCCTCTCCATTTCCTTAGTGAGCTCTGTGAAGGAGACTAGAGGAAGCTTTGCTGGGCAGAAGCAGGAGAAGCAGCTCTAGCCTGAGGTCCTAGGCTGGGTGGGGTTCCTGTAG